ACGAAGCAATATGTACCATGATGTCTTGAAAGGAATGTTGGATGAATTCAACGAAATGTTCATTGAATTTGAATTAACTGCATCGTTAGGAATAGTTTAAAGCATCTGGAATAGTTTTAAGCATCTCTTTGTGATTATTTACATTTTTTGTTGATATGTAAATGTCATAATTTAGTTTTGTGCATAAATTATTAGTTGAAGTAGATATAAGTGTATATTGTTCGGTTCCACTTAAGTGCTTCTATATGAGAAATATCAAGTTAAGCCTGGATGTCTTCAATTAATTAATCAAAGAGATAGTTTTTGCTAATAAGCTAATAACCTCATTGAAAATATTATTGCTGAATTTTTGTTCTACAAATCAAGCCAGGTTCATCATACTCAGCTTTTGAATAAACCAGACTCCTGCTAGGCCATAATTCCAACTGCCGTATGCTTGAGTAGCAGCAGTCGCGTGTTTGCATGGTGAGTGAAATTTATATAATTTGGAATTTCCTTTTTTGCTGTCGGTTTTCTGATCTTTTCCAGCATCAAACATAATAGGAAGTCAGTGTTTTATATTATATTACATCGATCATGCCTGCTTAGTATCAACACCATCCACAAAAACCACTTTCCAAGAGGAAAAATTCTGAAGTAATTAAAGAACAAAAGGAATTTAGCAACTTAGAGCTATTTCAACTTATCGAAATGATGAGAGCTGAGAATAAACAAGGGATTGATTGTCTGAATAATGAACTAGGATCCAAAATATCAGGAATTATATTACTAATGTCCGATATGCAGCAACGAATCGAAGATTTGGAAACTAAATTACAGAAAGCTAATACAAAAGCAGATGAAGCATTTAAGTTGGCTTACCAAAACAAAGTAGCAATAAACATGCTATTTCAAAACAGACTTCAAAATAAAGTGGAAATACCAGGCTAGAGCACCGACAGCTCTCTCAAAGGCGAGAAACTCACAGTAAAAGTCAAAGAGCTAGTTAATTCTTTCGGTGTTGCACTAAGCGATAAAGAAATAACACACACATTCCAACTCCCTAGAAATGGCCCAGCTGCACCTACCGTAGTGATCGAATTCAAAAGCTTTAATACAAAAATGAAGCTTCTTAAAGCAAGGAAAATTGCGAAAAACAGCAAAATTTATTTTGATAATAGTCTTACTCCGTTGAATCGCTTTTTGATGTTTAAAGCGAGAGAAGTTGCAAAGGATAAAAACTTTAGTGTCTTTCTGAGTGGTGACAAAGTTCATGTCAAAAAGGATTATGCAACAAAACTAGCAATAAACGACATCAGCGACATTTTGGAAATCAAAAGATGGATTCCTAATCCAATCGACATAACACTCCGTTAACAAGAAAAAAATGCTTGATACAAAAGTTGCTCTTTTAGCCAAATTTATAAAAGTTTTAACATCACGTACATTCGATTTTTTTTAAAAAAAAACTCTAGTCTAAACCCTTATTCTGCTTTTTTGATTGAACTTACCGCATTCAATAATCAATTTATCATTTATCTTTCCGAAAGGAGTGAGGAAGGAGGGAAATAAATAAATAAAAAAAAAGAAGATTAAAAAAGTTGATGCTCAGAAGTACACTTTGTTCAAGAAACTTGCAGTTATTATTTGAACTGGCAGTGAAGATGGAAACTTTATAGATTGAACAAAATAAACTAATTCCACTATTTAAAGTCGTCAGTCAATATTCGGCCGGAATCTCAAAACATTTTAAACAATTGTCATTTGTCTCAGGTTTGACATCGATTACATGAGTCATCGAACAGCATTCAATTTGATGAAAGTTACACCTAAAGAACTTGTGGACAATAAGAAGGTTTTGATAAGAATCTTATGAGAAAATGAGATATTTATATTGACAGCAGTGATCAAAAGCCAAGTTTGGATTTATTTTGCAAATTATAGTTCAACGTTTTAAATCTTTAACATTCACTCATCGAAAAGTAAATTCATTTCATTCAATGAATTCGTCATCTAGTGTAAGCATGAAAAATGTAAATTGTGCACAAACAGTCATCGAATCTATCAATGTGAAATATTCAGAAGAGAACATCCAAGAAAACACCTGGAAACGGCTGTTAAATTCAAACTGTGTTTATATTGTCTTAGAGCAAGACATAACAAAAATTGAAAAAAGATTGAAAGAGTAATTTAAGATGCAGTTTCCCGAACATGCAATGAGGATACTCAGAGCACATTATTTGTGAGCTTTATAGCTTTTGTGAGAATGTGCTCATTTTCATACGTTTCAGTGATGCGCTTACGGTACCTGTTTGAGCATGCTCATTGAGTACATTCCTGTGTGACATATATTAAGCTCATTGAGTAAACTCATGAGCATACTCAAATGAAAAGGTAACATTTCACATGCAACATTTTTCTCATGTAACATTTTTATTGAATATACTCATGAACATTCTCAAAAAGTACATACTTATAAATATTCTCAAAGAGTACATACTCATAAACGTACTCAAAGAATATATACTTAGTGAGTATTTTTATGAGTATATGCTCATCTGAGCTAGGGTTGGGCATAATCGTATTCGAATATATTCGAATATAATGTGCGCACATAAATGTGCGCATATATTCGAATATATATTCGAATATACATAATTCAAAAAATAACCGTTATTAATCGTAATTTTTTTAATAAATGTTTAACAATTAATTAAATAACTTACAACTAAAATATCGACGTATTTGGCTAAAGAAAGTACTTCCATTGCTTTTCCATTAAAATTAGATCTATTTTAGTAATTGTTTAACATGATTTTTTCAATTGAAAAAATTTGATATCAAAGAATATTTGAAGTCGCCTTTTAAAAAATTTTAACGGTCAATAAATATTTGAAAATTTTCCCGCTAAAAGTTGCACTACGAAAACATTAGTTATAGTATAATTACATAATTTGTTCCAATGAATTTCCATATAGAAAAAGTTTTTCATTTACGGTCTTTTGTGATTCAAATTTTCTAACAGTCAGTAAGTTTTTGAAAGCTTTTCGCCAAAGGATACACAAAAAATCATTAATTATAGCATATTTACCAATTTAATATCTTTAATTCTCATATATGAATTGTTTATCATTTACAAATTACAGGCAAGTTGAAAAATGCTAATCAACAAATAACGTATTTTTTCATTTTTGAATTTCTAATATTCGAATATATATTCGAATATATTCGAATATTTTTTTGTTCATATTCGAATATATTCGAATATATTCGAATATTTGCCCAACCCTAATCTGAGCACACTCATGAGTGCACTCAAGTGAAGTTGCAAAATTCAAAAAATTAATTAAGCTAAATTTGAGTATTATAGGTTAGCTGAAATTAAGTACTGTTCCGTTTATTTCTGTGAATAATTTTGAAAGAGTTAGAATTTATTAATATTTTATCTCAAATACTTAGAATGAAACATATAAATCTGGTCACTCATCTTTGTTGAAATATCTTCTGCGTTGCTTAACTTCTGTCATCTCACACTTTTCCTTGGAGCAACTTTCTGTAAATATATAATAATTTATACATGGCATAACACATACTTAAATTATTATATTTTTACAGGCGAACTAAGTTCTTTGAAGTTTGGATCTTATTGAGCACCAATTTTAACGTTTTCGATTTAGCTGACAAAAAACGTCAGCTTCCTTAAAAAAATCATTATTTAAACGTTTTCGATTTAGCTGACATTTTTTTAATAAAGGTACACAATTTGCTCTTGAATAAACTCAGTAAGTGCACTCATATGAGAATATAAAAAAAAAATTGTGTGACACAGAAGTGAGTTTGCTCATTATATGCTCATGAGTGCATTCAGTAAGTGCACTCATATGAGAATATAAAAAAAAATTGTGTGACAAAAATTTTTTGCAAAAAAATAAAGAGAGTACATTCGTAATGAACTCCTGAGCATGCTCAGTTGAATGAGCTTGCATGTGTATAATTTTTGAGTGAACTCACTTATATGCTCACGTTTCTGAGCATGCTCTTTGTATGTTCGGGTTTGTAATGAGAAGCATCATACGAGTCTTCATATAAATAAATCAAATTCTTCACACAAATCAATTCAAAAATAAATTCTTGTTGAGATGATCTTCAAGTCGTACTTGAATCAAAATTTAAGTTAATCTCATCTCATTTCTAATAATACTTGGAACAATATTCAAGTTCTCATCTCATCTAATATCTGGCAGATCAGAATTATTCTACAGATTATCAATAGGCACTAATAGAACAGAATTATTCTATAAGAAACTCAAACTAAATGCAATGCAACAGAATTATTCTTATAGCATTTTACTTCAAGTACTAACAGAACAGAAATATTCTGTTAAGAACCACACTCACATGAATCATCTTTCAAAAAATTTTTTTCACACCATCAACAATATCAAGATATGAAGTATTTATTAATTACCATAAGTCGAGGGCAGTATACTGAATGGAGAATCAACATTTTTAGATCAAGAAAGAAATTATCTAATATGAAATATTGTGAAATATTTTTTATTTTAGTTTGTTGTTAAAGTTGTGATTAGTATCATAAGAAATTGACATTGCATATATTTTAGAAGAATTTGAGCTACATTTCCCACGGTCAATGAGAAGAAATCTTTCGAAGTACTTAATCTTCGTAGGACTGACTTAAGGTTATTTCTAGGAACTCTTACAGGAAATTGTCGATTCAACAAGTATCTGTGCGATAGTAGAGTTAGAAATGACCCAATATGTAGATTATGCAAAGACAAAACGGAGGTTCTGATATCGTGGAAACAACAACAATTAAAACGACTAAGTATTCAATGTTATTGAATTTCTTGAAAGGCTCCAAACCGGAGCTACTTAATATTATAATTAATACTAAGTTCATTCACAGGGAACGGTGCAATAAAATAATCAATAGCAATAGTAATATTTAAACTTAAATAGAAATAATCAAAAACCACCATAAAATACATCATATATTTTTATTTGCATTGAAAAACAACTTTAATTTTAAAAATGTATTTAAAAATTAAGAAAAATTGAAAAAACATATCACGCAACCGGGTGTTATCTATAGTGGAGATTAATTAATTTCAAAAGTAGTTTTTAGGCAAAAACTATTTCTTAAATGGTTTTAACATTGAATTATGTGTTCCGCTTATATGTTTTCTTGCATTAGAGTAGTCTAGGAACCTTTCATTACAGCCTTCAATGGGACAAAAAAACGGACGTTCACCTGGAAAATTAAATTAATAAAATTAATTGAAACGAGTTTTTTTTTGAACAATTACCAGTATGTGCTGCTCGTATATGGTAATTCATACCTGGCTTGTATTTGAATCTTCTTTCACAATAAGAACATTGATATTTTTCTTCTAATGCATCTGCATGAATTCTTAAATGTGAATTTAGTCTATATTGTGCATGAAAAGCTTTTTGGCATATATGACATTTAAATTGCTTATTATTTTGATGGACTGCTTTATCGTGGACTCGTAATCTTCTTTCACTTTTAAATAATTTTCCGCATTTACTACAATTTATTTCTAATCTGCTATGAACTTGTTTGATGTGTGTGCTCAAGTAAGCTGCAATATTTTAGATGAAATTTACATAATTTTTCATTATATGATTAATAAGCATGAAATTTGCTAAGTATTAATAAACAACAAAACTTGTGAGGAGTCAACAATGATTAAGATTCGTTGAAAAAATCATGTTTATCTTTTATATTACGTACAGAGTTTTTTAAGCAATTAATGAAAAAATTATGTATAAGATGCTAAAAGCATCAAATCAAAAAAATAACAAAAACTTTAAATTTTCTAATGAGTCAGAAAAATATTGTGCATAAAGAATTTTTAAAAAGTTTTTCTTCAAATCTGAATCATTGTCGAGTCTTTCACTTGTGACGTCCGTCAAATAAAAAAGATTTTTATTTTGCAAATTCTAGAAACCTCGCCAAACCCTTCCCCCTCTCACCCCAGCCTAAATGTTAGACGTCATAAGTGAAAAGATATCGTTATTCGTTCAATTATTATTTTGTAGTTTACCTGCACTGGCAAAAATCAGAGTACATTGATCGCACATAAATGTTGATTCTGTTACATGTTTAACCATGTGATTTTTCATCCTATGACGAAGTTCAGTTTTCCATCCACAAAAGTCACATTGAAACTTTTCTCCTTCATCATTTTCCCTCTTATGCTTACTTATTAAATGCTCTTTTAATTTGGCACCACAAATAAAATGTAATCCACAATAAATACAAAAATTAACTTTGCTGCTTAAATGCTTTCTTTGGTAATGCAGATACAGATCTTTAAAATTCCATCTGTATTCCGGTTCAGAACATAAAATGCAACAAAATTTGTTATGAGAAGAATGGTTTTCAATAATATGATTTAAATATGCTGCAAAATGTGGTATTGATTTATTACAGTCATAGCAGTTTCGCTTAAACTTGTTCTTGTGTATTTTATGCAGGTGTTCATTTAGCTCCAAAATATGTGAAAATTTATTGTGCTCTGGACACTCATGACATATCCAGTCAAAAGTTGGCCAACTATTGGAACTAAATAACTGAAGGACTCGAGAAGATATTTTTCCTCCGTCCAATTTATCTTCATCAAGTATTTCAAGAGTTTCTGGAGAGTCACAATATTTTCCTATCATTTCATTTTGATAAAGCAATTTTGTAGTAATCGTTAATGCTTCTTTTGCTCGTCTGATTCCGCGGTTTTTTTTCCGTAATTCAGGTGGAATTTTGTTGTATTTTCGCTTAGTTTTTTGCTCTTCATTAATCTAAAATATTTATAACAAGTTTCATAATTAATAAATTTATTAGGGATCGATCCCTTTAATGGACCTTTTGATTTTTAAAATGTCTTTATATTGTTTAAGTCCAGTAGATGGAGAAAACACCATAACAGTAAATAAAGTGGCAGAAGCATGTTTTTCAAAGTTACCAAAAATTATCAGTTACTTTTTAAGGAGGGCATATTAAGTGTTTATAATATAATTTTTACAATAAGCAAACGTCTTTATTTCGAATTTTGAAATATTGTAATTTTTCGTCATCTACTGGATGCAAACTATCAAAAAACATTAAAAATTTAAAATTAAATAATGCCATATTTGATGGTCTTACCAAAAAAACTTTGTGCTCAGTAATTTCCTTTTCACTTTCTTCATTTTCTTTCCATGAAAAAGGCGAGGAAAATGGTTGAACAATTGAATATTCCTCTTCTGTTTTATGACTTTCTGAAATTTCTTCCTTCACTTCGATTTTTATTAACACAGTATTTATTAATTTTAATCGATCTCGTGCATTTTGGATTTTTTGAAAAAATTTAAAAGATATCCTTAAACTGGATATACATCGCTTACAAATCATAGATTTTGCCATAATGTACTCATTGAGTTTTATACTGAACATTTCGTTTATTTGTTCACATATTCGAAATTCTTGATCATCCAAAACTTTTAAAGATGTAGTTTTCTCACAAACTAAACACTTTTTTTCCATCTTGAATATAAAATATATTAAAAATACTGTATTATATCGGTCACAATACATTAATAACTTAATTTATCAAACATATTGGAATAATTCTCTTAACGTGTGAAAGAAAAATATACATTTACGTTTTGACTAAAATAAAAAGACCAAAATAATGCTATTTATATTCACACTTGAAATATTTCTAATAAAGATTTTTAAAACGTAACGTAACGTGTAAAAATTTTATGTAAAACTTAACTTAAAAAATAAAACTTAACTTAAAAAAAATAAAACTTAACTTAAAAAATAAAACTTTTTATTTATGCCTTGCAACATTATAATGTATTTTTAAGATTTTAGATAGCATCGTTCATCGTGTAGAAATCTACTGTTCTACTTAATTATAATTATTGACTTTGTTGCATTGACATCCAAATAATATTTTTTCGATTTTTGTTGTTTTTACATTTTTTTTTTTTCATTTTTAACTAACCCTTTTTTCACATTTAAACTAAAGTATGTCAAAGTTATGATACATTTTTGTTGCTTTTAGTTTTAAAGGATAGCTTGTAGATGAGAAGTTTGTAATGAATAAGGCTTGAGTCTTCTGTTTGTTGAGGTTGATCTTTCATTTGTTCATGTATTGTTGAACTTTTCTTCCTGTGTGCTGTAGATGTGTCACAATATCGGCCGAGTTCTCTGCAGAATAATACAATGTTGTATCTGAAGATGCTGTTGGTGAAGGAGTTTGTGAAAGCACTGCTCCTTTTTGGAATCCTAATTTGATTACCTTGATTTCTGAGAACTGACATTTAATAAAAACTGCGTAAGATTTTTCACTGAGGAAAGATCTTACACCATCTTACAGTTTTTATAAGTGGAAGTGGAAATCTCAGTTTGAGTATTTTGTTCAAGAGTCAGTTAAGCCAGACTCCGTCAAATACTTTTCCTACATCCAGGAATTTACAGGAATTACAGGAGTTACAGTTACAGAGTTTGCAGGATTGTACAGTTGAAAAAAACAAAAAAACACTCAAATCCGATTATATGTACATTCCTTGGTTCAACCATCGTTAGAGTCGAATAGACTCTAACCACCAAATTCAATGCTTTTTCATTCCCTTAAAAAAAGTATTAACAAATACAAAATCTAAAACTCGAATTAAAACAATCTTTTGTGGTTTTTAAAATTTATTTCATGACCAAATTGTTAAGTTTTACTTTTCAAACTGTTTATAACTTGATAACCAAATATCTGGTATTGGAATTTCTTTAGGATAAAATTCTTTCGGAGGATTATTTTCAATGGTCCGCGGTGTTTGAATAAAAATTGTAGCAATTGAACCAATTATGTTTAGGAGAGATAGAAAAGTTTGAGGTACTAAAATTAAAAAAAAAATAAAAATAGATAAACACTTGAAATTTTTAAATGCAACGATTAATATACCAATTTGGCCAAAAATTGATGTAGCACCAACAAATGGAGCACTTAAAAGCCAAATACGTGTCCATATTGTAGAAGTGTATGCACATAAGCGCCGTTTATCAGGAGACACAATTTCGGTTGTGCAAGTCATTAAGATAGATAAAGTTGCACTTATAGCAATCTTAGAAACCATTGATGTAGTCATCAGCAATACCATTCTTTCAAACAGGGAAACTTTTTATAATAATTTCAAAATATAATTAATTATTAGATGTAAACACAAAAATTGTTGAAGCAGTAAATAAATTACCATCAGAGGGAATGAAGTGTGCTCCTAGCGAAATAAAGGACGCTATGAAGTTGAATATTCCAGCATAAAGCCATTTTCGGTGTGTAGTCATTATCAACCATAAACCAATAAATGTCCCGATTATCTCGCAAACACCTATTGATAACATGTAAGTAAATATAAAAAAATATTTTTGAAAAGCTTTTTCTATTTACCACATATTATAGTGTTTTCTTCCAAATATTCACGTCCGAAATTTCTAATGTTTAGAAGAAATCCATAATAAATGATAATATACATAGACCTAGGAAAATTAATTTGTTGTAAAAATTAATTTATATTTTCAAATATTTTTAATTTAAGTACCAAGCAAGATGAACTGCAATTAGATTTCGAATCTGTCCTCTCCACATCTCCCAGTATGATGGTTCTTGAATAGGTTTACAACTTTCAGCAGCTTGAATTTGAAGCTGTTTTTCAAGGTTATTTATAGAAAAATCAGTTTTTCCATTAACTCTTGCTGCTTCTAAAAGAATCTGCTTAGTTTCCTCAATACGCCCATGTTTAAGAAGCCATCTTGGAGAATTTGGTATCCATGGATATAAACAGATTAAAATAACTGTAGGAAATGATATTGCCATATAAAGATAACTCCAGCTTGACCTATTCATATAATAAATATTTTATCAGATTTTTTAAAGTTAATTGACGTGCATTTTACCAATAGCTAGCTATTGCAGGAAGGAGCATTATTCCAATTGACCAAAATTGTTCAAACATGCAGATGGCTATCACTTTGTATTTTTCACTAGTTATATCAGTAACTATAATTAAAATAATATATTAATTATAAACGAGAAATAAAGCTTTAAAAATCGTTCATTAAAATTCAGATTAATGGCAACTTACATATTAAACCTCCAGCTGTATACATTAAACCACAGCAAATAGCAGAAAGGCATCTAAAGAACATATGTAGTTCAAAAATATTTACCCAACCTGTTAAGTTTCCACATATTATTTGCGTGATCATTCCGATCAGCATGCACTGTCGAGGTTCTACATATTTCATCATATTTGTGGTGATTATTCCACCGCATAATACTCCAAATAAATGAAAAAATTGTGTTACCGCAACTAAAACTTCTCTAGAACAATAAAGATCAAATTGTGTAATTATTGATGTGTAGGCTGGTCGATGCTCAAAAAATGCACACGGAACCAATCTTCTTTTTTTAGATATGTTTTCAAATTTTTCATTTTTAATGGTCACGTTTTTCATAGCATCTTCATAGACATTGCAAATATCAATAATTAGTTCTGAATCAGTTCGTTTTCCTTTTATCGGATGTGCAACTTTTATCCAGTCATTTATGTAATGTGACATATTTATACTTGGTGGTCTGCAAAAAATTTCATTTTCTTGAGGTGTAACTGCCGTAAAAATTATGCACGACATAAACCAGCTGCTAGGAATTTTGCACAAATATATTAAAAATATTGTTCTTATCTGCCATTTTCCAATTGGTCCCAAAAACTCTCCGATAAAATCATTTGTATTAAAATTTTTTTCTGTATGATGCTGATCTTTTGTGTGATACTGCTCAGATTTATTTAAAACATTTGAAGATTTATCAATCATGTCAAGTTTATTATGATCCTCAGTTTTATCTATACAGGAGAGTTTTCTTTGACGACACTTTATGTCCTCCTTCTTATGAGTTTCGATAATATTATTAAAGTTGACCTGTTTAAAAGCACAATTTTAGTTTTAAGCAAACGACAATGAGAGCGACACGAAGATTTTTGATCAATAAACCGTTGAAATAGGATATTTACCATTTTTATATGATTTTTTTTTTCTGATAAATACACAATTTGACGCAAATATATTTGAATTAACAAATCACGATATTTCAATTAAAAAATTATTTTATCAAATAATTAGTATTCACTTAGCACTATAACATCTGAATTCGAACAAATAATAAAACTGGTGCGACAGATGCTTGCTAGCTTTGCTGCTTTTATAGTGAAAATTTCATATTTATTGAGTATATTAATCTTGAAAACCAATATTTGAATTTTTATTTCAACACAATATAAGGTGAGATAAAGACAAATGTTATTTAATTAACGGTAATGGCAATAAATTTCAACTATTTTATCACTCGTTTCCCCCACCCGTTGTCAAAAAACTTCTATAGAACTAGTGTATCGGGTAGAAACCCAATGCGTATATATTCACACCCTGTAAGGATATCAATTGAGCCAAAAACAAATTGACAGGACGGTGGGGCGTTTCGTTCCTTTTTAAGTTTTAAAAATAAATTTAAACGAGTCAAATATTTTTACCCCAATTCTTGGCACATCATTGAATCCTCTCATTGCTCATTTAATGGCATCAAAAGAAAAGTTGTTGATGCTCCTTGCTTGATGATTTTCTCAGCTGCTTCTAATTTGATGCTCACGTCTGAGAATTCCTTATCCTAAAAGTAAAGAAAGAAATGTGAAATTGAGCAAATCAATGACCTATGATACCTATGATGAAAAAAAAAATAAGGATATCAATTGAGTCAAAAAAAATTGACAGGACGGTGGGGCGTTTCGTTCCTTTTTAAGTTTTAAAAATGAATTTAAACGAGTCAAATATTTTTACCTCAATTCTTGGCACATCATTGAATCTTCTCATTGCTCATTTAATGGCATCAAAAAAAAAGTTGTTGATGCTCCTTGCTTGATGATTGTCTCAGCTGCTTCTAATTTGATGCTCACGTCTGAGAATTCCTTATCCTAAAAGTAAAGAAAGAAATGTGAAATTGAGCAAATTAATGACCTATGATACCTATAAATTAATAAGGATATCAATTGAGCCAAAAACAAATTGACAGGACGGTGGGGCGTTTCGTTCCTTTTTAAGTTTTAAAAATGAATTTAAACGAGTCAAATATTTTTACCTCAATTCTTGGCACATCATTGAATCCTCTCATTGCTCATTTAATGGCATCAAAAGAAAAGTTGTTGATGCTCCTTGCTTGATAATTTTCTCAGCTGCTTCTAATTTGATGCTCACGTCTGAGAATTCCTTATCCTAAAAGTAAAGAAAGAAATGTGAAATTGAGCAAATCAATGACCTATGATACCTATGATGAAAAAAAAAATAAGGATAACAATTGAGCCAAAAACAAATTGACAGGACGGTGGGGCGTTTCGTTCCTTTTTAAGTTTTAAAAATGAATTTAAACGAGTCAAATATTTTTACCTCAATTCTTGGCACATCATTGAATCTTCTCATTGCTCATTTAATGGCATCAATAGAAAAGTTGTTGATGCTCCTTGCTTGATGATTGTCTCAGCTGTTTCTAATTTGATGCTCACGTCTGAGAATTCCTTATACTAAAAGTAAAGAAAGAAATGTGAAATTGAGCAAATTAATGACCTATGATACCTATGATGAAAAAAAAATAAGGATATCAATTGAGCCAAAAAAAAATTGACAGGACGGTGGGGCGTTTCGTTCCTTTTTGAGTTTTAAAAATGAATTTAACCGAGTCAAATATTTTTACCTCAATTCTTGGCAGATCATTGAATCTTCTCATTGCTCATTTAATGGCATCAATAGAAAAGTTGTTGATGCTCCTTGCTTGATGATTGTCTCAGCTGTTTCTAATTTGATGCTCACGTCTGAGAATTCCTTATCCTAAAAGTAAAGAAAGAAATGTAAAATTGAGCAAATTAATGACCTATGACACCTATAAATTAATAAGGATAACAATTGAGCCAAAAACAAATTGACAGGACGGTGGGGCGTTTCGTTCCTTTTTAAGTTTTAAAAATGAATTTAAACGAGTCAAATATTTTTACCTCAATTCTTGGCACATCATTGAATCTTCTCATTGCTCATTTAATGGCATCAATAGAAAAGTTGTTGATGCTCCTTGCTTGATGATTGTCTCAGCTGTTTCTAATTTGATGCTCACGTCTGAGAATTCCTTATACTAAAAGTAAAGAAAGAAATGTGAAATTGAGCAAATTAATGACCTATGATACCTATGATGAAAAAAAAATAAGGATATCAATTGAGCCAAAAAAAAATTGACAGGACGGTGGGGCATTTCGTTCCTTTTTAAGTTTTAAAAAATACTTTATAAAAAAAACTTTTTAAAAAAACTACGTTTTTCGCCTAGACTTAAAAGTAGAAAATAACTTTTATTCTTGGTTGTAAAGAATTTGGTTTTAAATTTTCAGATTATATTTAATAAATTTTTATATCCTAGTCAATATTGTTCACAAAGTTTCGAATAAGTGCACTTTGATCTTATCGTATAACTCAACAACTTAAAAACGTGGGCGCATTATAAGAGGAGAAATAAGTTTATGTGAAATCAATACTTTATGATAAACTTAAATTAATGCGCCCACGTTTTTAAGTTGTTGAGTTATACGATAAGATCAAAGTGCACTTATTCGAAACTTTGTGAACAATATTGACTAGGATATAAAAATTTATTAAATATAATCTGAAAATTTAAAACCAAATTCTTTACAACCAAGAATAAAAGTTATTTTCTACTTTTAAGTCTAGGCGAAAAACGTAGTTTTTTTAAAAAGTTTTTTTTATAAAGTATTTTATTTTCTACTTTTTAGTCTTATTCTAATGAAAAAGAGAAATAAAGATTATAGGGGGTTTATAGATTACAGGTGTGTTGAACTCCACTTCGTTGCACTTCGTTACGTTCAACTGTTTATAGATTACAGTAGGTTTATAGGTTACAGGTGTGTTGAACTCCACTTCGTTGCACTTCGTTACGTTCAACTGTTTATAGATTACAGTAGGTTTATAGGTTACAGGTGTGTTGAACTCCACTTCGTTGCACTTCGTTACGTTCAACTGTTTATAGATTACAGTAGGTTTATAGGTTACACGTGTGTTGAACTTCACTTCGTTGCACTTCGTTACGTTCAACTGTTTATAGATTACAGTAGGTTCATAGGTTACAGGTGTGTTGAACTCCATTTCGTTGCGCTTCGTTACGTTCAACTGTTTATAGATTAGAGTAGGTTTATAGGTTACAGGTGTGTTGAACTTCACTTCGTTGCACTTCGTTACGTTCAACTGTTTATAGATTACAGTAGGTTTATAGGTTACAGGTGTGTTGAACTTCACTTCGTTGCACTTCGTTACGTTCAACTGTTTATAGATTACAGTAGGTTTATAGGTTACAGGTGTGTTGAACTTCACTTCGTTGCACTTCGTTACGTTCAACTGTTTATAGATTACAGTAGGTTCATAGGTTACAGGTGTGTTGAACTCCATTTCGTTGCGCTTCGTTACGTTCAACTGTTTATAGATTACAGTAGGTTTATAGGTTACAGGTGTGTTGAACTTCACTTCGTTGCACTCCGTTACGTTCAACTGTTTATAGATCACAGTAGGTTTATAGGTTACAGGTGTGTTGAACTCCACTTCGTTGCACTTCGTTACGTTCAACTGTTTATAGATTACATTAGGTTTATAGGTTACAGGTGTGTTGAACTTCACTTCGTTGCACTTCGTTACGTTCAACTGTTTATAGATCACAGTAGGTTTATAGGTTACAGGTGTGTTGAACTTCACTTCGTTGCACTTCGTTACGTTCAACTGTTTATAGATTACAGTAGGTTTATAGGTTACAGGTGTGTTGAACTTCACTTCGTTGCACTTCGTTGCACTTCGTTACGTTCAACTGTTTATAGATTACAGTAGGTTCATAGGTTACAGGTGTGTTGAACTCCACTTCGTTGCACTTCGTTACGTTCAACTGTTTATAGATTAGAGTAGGTTTATAGGTTCCAGGTGTGTTGAACTCCACTTCGTTGCACTTCGTTACGTTCAACTGTTTATAGATTACAGTAGGTTTATAGGTTACAGGTGTGTTGAACTCCACTTCGTTGCACTGCGTTACGTTCAACTGTTTATAGATTACAGTAGGCTTATAGGTTACAGGTGTGTTGCACTTCGTTACGTTCAACTGTTTATAAATTACCAGTTTTCAATGGGAAATTAGTAACGACTTTCAAAATTTTTCATTCGTTTTATAAAATTTAATTTTTTTAAAGCATTCATTAGTAAAGTACATTAAAAATCACTCGTAAAAATTTTGTGTTTATCCGAACCATTCCTACTACATAACGTTTGGATTCTTAACATAAAGATGCAAATCAAATCTATATGTAACGTATTTATAACGGATTTTCAAATTTAAATTCAATGAATATCATTTATATGTTATGCAAAAATACGTCAAACCGTTAATAAAAAGAAAAGTCAATTTAATTAAGTTGGTGAAGTGTTATAAATAATGCAATACATTTAAAACAGCATAAATTTATGCTCAAACTATGTGTGCTAAATGCACATCGCATATTAATAGTTATTTTGCATTAATTCGTAACGGACTTGTGCTTAACGGTTTTTTTGAAAATTCAAATTTTCACTTACGAATATTCATGAAAAAATTACATGTCAATTTTTTTGTCTTACCAGAATATCTTTAGCTGCTCAAATTTATGGTATAATTAATAATTAGTAATATTAATTAAACTATAATGAATCATATAAATGACTTTAGAGCATCACAAGTATAATATTTAATACAAATCAAAATTTTATATCATTGACATTGGATTTTTTCCCATATAAAAAAGTTTTACATAAATTGTACTATAATTAAGCATTTTTGTGTTTCCAAAGTAATAATAATAATAATAATAAAAAAAAGTGTTAAAATATTGTATTGTCACCGGGAATACATGTGCAATAAAAATTTGAGCTCGATTGGAGCAGTAGAAGTGGTCGAAAAATTGATCGCAAGATTTGAAATTTTTTGCAAACAAACAAACAAACAAACAAACAAACAAACAAACAAACAAACAAGAAAGCAAGTTAAGAAAAACGTAGTAAAATGAATTTAAACGAGTCAAATATTTTTACCTCAATTCTTGGCACAT